ATCAGGCTTAGGTTAACCCGGGCTAACACTCACATTGCTCAAGCTAAGGTTAACCTGCTAATGCTAAGGTTAACACAGGCTAATGCTAACATTGATCAGGCTAAAGTTAAAACAGATGTACGTTAACATTGAACAGTCTAAGGTTAACTAGGCTAACGCAAACATTGGGCAGGTTAAGGTGAACCTGGGCTAACGCTAACATCGTTCAGGCTAAATTAATCGGCTGACGCTAACATTAATCAGGCTAAGGTTAACCTGCAAACGCTAACATTGATCAGGCTAAGTTTAAACAAGGCACACACTTACATTGATCAGACCAAAGTTAACACGAGCTAACACTAACATTACTCACTTTCACAGGGCTCTCAAGTGTTGAACAGAGTTCAGAGTGAGATTTTGACAGCGGTGTTTGGCACTCCAACTTCTGGCTCTAGCCCTCTCTACCGCGAATGTCAACGGGGGGGGGTGCTAGTGGAGTATGAAGCCCTCTGTATCGCGAATGTCAACGGGGGGGAATTGCCGACGAAAAGAATGATTAACGAAACACGCAACCCCACCGGAAAAATTTTACGTTAGCCAATTTTCCGAGAGATACTTCAGCCACCCTTCACCTACATTAAAAAAAAATCCTCTCTCCCAATATTAAATACGTGTTAACTTATACCGACGAGACCTAAGTTAGTTCCATTGTACACGTGTACAAAACTTCTCCGCATGCGTGTCTTAAAGTTAGGCCACACAAATTTATCTGATCAGTTAAGTGTGACAAAACATATCTTCCGAAATGTGTCTGAGAGTGATACCGCTGTACACGGACGACGTTAAAAATTGTTTAATAATTTTTCAGTGCAATGACTGGTGTACTGTGGGAGGTGAGCGGTGGGGAAGAGGCATTAATTTTCGACATTCATACCTGCTATGTTTACCCATGTTGGGCTCCGCTTCGGTCTTGTATGTGTCTGTTTTACTACCTAGTCTAAAGAGGGTAAACCGACAACTAGGTAAGGAGGGGGGAAGAAACGTCTCCCATAATACCGCAGACCGGTGAAGTCCGACGGCACGGGAGGCTCAGGGGATTGACGACTTATAGGTTTACGTCTCCGCCGACATCTTATCAATTATACAGATTGTAGTCCAGTGGGACGTCTCCTAGGCTACCTGTCGTTGCTCGGGCTGATCGAATTACGATAACAATCAGGACCCAAGTTTTTATTAAACGGGCACTCTGTTGTGGTGTGCGTAAAGTAGGGTAAGTGTTGGCGAGTGTGCGGTGGGACAAAAGAGTGCGTCTCTAAAGGAAAGGTCCTCATAGTGCTTCGGCGTTAGAACTTTGTTTTGATCGAACCATACTCTGGCGGCACATGAGT